CCAGCAAGAGCTCCCCGTTCAGCCAGGCCGGTCGTCTTCCCCGCCCGTTCTTCTTACAGCACATGGGGACAGCCTGCTCCTGCGCCTTTAAGACTTCCTTCTTGAAGATCGTCCAGCCTTCCTGGACCCCTTTGCCCTTCAGGACCGTCTCCCAAGGGACTCTCTCAACCAGTGTCCTGAACAGGCCAAAGTCCGCCCTCCGGAAGTCCATGGTTGCGGTTTTGCTGCCCCCCTCCTTACGTCACCAAGAATCGAGAATTCTACCATTTCATGGTCGCTAAGCCCAAGACGGCCTCCGACCACCACATGATGGACAGGCCAGCAGTTTGGACATGTATCAGATCTACCTAGGCTGAAAGCTTGGGAACCCTCTTGAACAGCAATAGCCTGCTGGGTTTACCACATATTACAAAGTCATTGTAAAAGATGGCTTTGTACATACAGTCCGTTTCTTGCTTGCCCTGTCTCTTTTTTTTTTTTTCTTCCCCCTAAGACTTAAACTCATGTATTGCAAAGCATTCAAGCAGGGAAGTGAGTTCTGTGGTGGACAAGGTTTTAGTCATCATCTTTTAGAAGCACAGGCTGCTGGTTTTGCTCAATTTGTGTCATATACACAACGTTAAAAAGGCAGCACAGGCAAAAAACCCCCCAACCACCACCCCACCTGAAAAAAAAGAAAAACTAGAACAACTGACGACGCTTCATACTTTTGGGTTCAGTTGTTAAATTTATAAATCCTGCAGGTATAATCCTGCCTCTGAAGCACTGGAGATCAAAATAAGATACTGAAAATGCTTCAGCTTCCTCTCTTTCACCTTGTGATAGAAGAGATGAGGTATGAGAGTTCAGAGGAGACAGAAGCAGAACATTAGATGTTTTGAAAAACCTGTCTTTTTTCCTTAAACTTTTGCTTTGCTGGACAACAGCAGTGGTTGGTTTAACAGTAACATTATAGATCCAAATTTACTAATTTTTAATGTGTTCAGAAAGACAAGCATAACTTTGCAGGGTCAACAAAATCTACATTTATTACCAGTTTTTGTAAATAATGTTTAACTTAGCTAATGCAGTTAGGACTAGGGGAAAACTGTGGTCTTGCAGGGCAATGGCATAGTCTTCACTGCCAACAGACCCAAATCATCTGCCTGACTGAATGATACTATGGGGACTTCAGCTCCCAAAATCATTTCCAGGAAATCCACCCATGAAAATAGCTCATTCGGGTCTCACAGTAAATCACAATTCCGTAATTTAACTCATGTCAACAGTAACAAACTATTTACTGTTTCTATACCAGTGAAATAGACTGACAAGAATTGGAAGCTGTGAACCCAAGCTTGGAACTTGTGTATCAATTGTTATGCAGTGGTCTTTTTATTAATATTTCTCCTACATTAAACAGACCAGAATGATGTTTTACATGTTCAAAAAAGGCTGTGGTTTAAGCATACCTGTCTGCTGTTATTTTAAGCTACCAAAAACAATGTCAGCAGTTCAGCCAGCAAATCTGATGATATACCCCATGTACCAACTGGACTGTTGGAAAAGGAAAACAAGTCTTTTATTTTCCATGGTCATTCTCACATGCTGATGTTACACACGTTTTATTTCAAAAGACTCGAGCCCTTCCAAGCTCCATTTTTTACTACTGCCTCACATTTCCCTTTAGAGAGAATGAAACATTATGTAAAGCCATCTTTAAACCAAGAAATCAGCACAGCCATTTCTCCTGAATCATTTATTTTGATAAACCTTGTAGTTCCCTTGGTACTTGGTAAGTATTTTGCCATTGATTTGGTTGGTAAGAAAAGGGCAGTATTTGTACTACTGTGTTTTAATTGAGGAAAGAATTAACCAAAATCAAACCAGCGTAACAATAACCAACAGTATGGATTTCTACCTAATTAGGACAGTAATTTTTCTTAAACAGGATGCCTGCATGTGATTAAATGATACTCATGCAGGGCTGTTGGACCTGGTGACTGTTGAAAATCAATGTTCTTTTTAGGTCCCTTTGATGGCCTTTCCTGACACTGGTTCAACCAAATGAAATGAGTTCAATGATCCTTTCAGAATGCTATGTAAGTTATATCGACAATTTAAGTGAATAAATCTCTGGTGCAAATTTCTCTGTGAATTCTGCACCTGGAACCAGGCCCTAGAAAGCCAGCATAATTCAGTGTTATAAAGTAAAAGCACCTCTCATTGTCCTTTAATGCCAACACTAAGGTACCACAGCAACACACAAGTACCTCAGCAGTATGCTGCATCTGATGACATCAGATTGTCAGGTGCTAACACGACCATAGCATCATCCATACTGGCCTTATTCATTGTTCTGCACACCTCTGACGCCCCTGCTCCACACTGTCCCCACCACTGGCTGCCGTGGTGCCCCTCCCACCCCTTCCTGTTCCCAAAGGGTGGGCAGCGACTCTATCTCATTAGCAGAAAGAGGGAGGTGCTGCTGATAGTTTTGGAAACTTTCCTTTTTCTAGTCCATCAGCAATACTTAGTATTGCTCATGATTGCCATAGTATTCATACCTTTTCCAGCAGTAGTATCGTTAAAAGGATATCATCCATCAGGGGTGCCAAAACAAAACAGATCAGGGAAGGGTTAATAAAAATGATTTACAACGTTTGAATCCTATCTGGGACTAGCAAAACATTTGATGATAGAGAAAATTAAGTAGATTTCCAAGCCTTCTGTTTATGATCAACTTACGGTACTGGCAAAAGTGATTTTTTTCTCGTTAAGAAAGTGGACAGAAATGCCAATGGCAAATTCTGCTTTGCACGGCAGAATTGCTCTCTGTGCTTAGAATATAGCTCAGATTACCCCCATATCCAAGCTTGCTCATTTATGGTTAAAGCTCAGATGTCATCAAACTACTCAGTACTACACCACTTTCTCTGAAATGCAGGATGAATTGCAATGAAGTGTTTTTACACCTTAAAAAGCCCTCTTTTTCCTTTAAAACAAATTTATTTCCACATTTTCATAAAACATCTTTTGTTGACATTCTGCAAACAATACTATCCAATAAGGTGCCGATTTTTTCTTCCTGCGGAGTAACTTTGTACATCTGCAGAAAAAAAGAAAAACATAAAAGCTGTATACGGAAGAAAAAAATTGACCACGTATCTTCTAAAACTATGTACACAAGAAAAGACTTCCCCCTCTCCCCCACTTTTTACATTGGAAATTCCTATCTTGTGACTGCAAGACAAAATAGGGACTGAGGAACCAAGCAAATTCTGAAACCGCAAGACATAAAGGAAAGCTAAGAAACTGAATGAGAGCAGCACTTTTAGCTCCACGTTATATGCTATGATTTGTCCAATTTTATTCCTATGTCTCCCATCACTACCTTGATGGACATGATCAAGATGATTTAAGTTACTTGAATTTTATCAAGTGAAACACATATGCTTCAAGGTACCTATCTAGCATTTGGTCATCTGTTAAGAGCACACATGCCCTAACACTGCTCCTAGCAGCTAATCAAGACATTTTTATTTTAGCCGCACACGCTGGGACTATTTATGTGCCTAAGATTATGAAACTGTTCAGGAATGAAAGTTTATTTTTAATTAAATCGGTATTTGCCTGAGAAAACAGGAAGAAAAGTGCCTGAATGGTAGGCAGCAATCTGGAATTTATTTTTATGTTCCAACTTCCTGACAATGTTATGAATTTGAAGACTTAAAATTTGTGATGTCAGGGTACGACAACTAGAATTTTTTTCAAGTAAAAAAATTGTAAGAAAGAAATAATCAAGGTTCACTTAAAACAAGCTTTCAGTTGTGCTAAAGAAATACAGACCCTAAGTTAATTATGTCCATTGATATTTAATCAGACAACTAAATAAACGATCCCTTTTTCCTACACCAGTCATCTCTTTTGGCTACATACCTTTTTAACTTTGGCAGTGTCTGTTAGTTGGGGGAGTTCATCTAGAGAAACCTGTTGGCCTTCTACCTGAGATGCTATATCTTCCAGATTTACAGTTTTTTCTCTGTCCACAATCAGAACAATGAGTACTGCTGTGTCACTGTCTGAAATGCCAAACTTTTTAAATGCATCTGAAATCTTAAGAAAAGACGAAAAATGTCAAATACCATAAGTCATTTTCTCACTACATATAAACAACCTTTTCAGTTACTGAGTCAAATAAACCAAGAGTATAAATTGACACACGTTACATTAAGGGAATTCTGACAAGCTACAAGAGATAACAGCATATTAGTGTTATTAAAAATAGCAGTAACTTCTATTAGTAGCCAGGTAAACAGTTAAGTGAATACGTATATTTAGTTTGGCTGCATGGATCTTAGCAAGCTTCTCTGGCAAAAAAGACATTTGTTCAGTAAAACTTACATTGTTGTTTGGTGAAAGGCTGAAAATAATTTCTGCATAGAGAGTTCTGGTCTTCATTTTACCTATCTTGTGTAGATGAACTGCTTTGTTGGCTGCCACAAGAATTTGAAAAGGATCTACAATCTGTAAAACACAGCAGAAGAAGAAAAACGGAAATTTAACACACTATTTTGAACTCTGAAAAAATCCTGACCACTCAATTTTGATAGCCTAAGTCTGCAATTGTAGAAGTGAGCAAAACAGTATTCTGCTAGTTATTTTAGCAATCCTTGCTATTCCAAAGTCAATGTGATTATTTCCTGCGTGGGATAATACTTGACATAAAGATTACACTCTCTCAATCAGGTTACTGAAATCTTTTGAAAAAAGAATCACATTAATAAATCTTCTGTCAGTAAATTGCCAGAGTAGATTCTTTTTTTCCCTTCCCTAACTACTGCTTTGCGAATTCTAACAAAAAAGACTAGATTCAGAAACTAGTTATGTGTCTACATGAGAACAAAGGCTCCAAATAGTAGATTTTTGACAGCATTAAGCAATTAGTACTACCTTTTACAGATGGAAGTAGATTTAAATAGCTCCACCAAGTAGGATGTGAGGCAAATCAAGACAACAATTGTCTTGGCCAATCCTGCCAAGGCTGTTTCTTTTACACAGATGAACCCTTACACTGCACGACACTGTAATGAAATCAAAGGAGGGGCATTTGTGCTGAGAAAGCGAAGTACGTGCGTAGCAACTCGTGTGACAGGGATTACAAGCGCAGGTCGTTTTCCACAGAGTTCCCAGAGAGAAGGACTTCCACACTGCCTTCAAAACCGTAACGCAGTACAAACAGGTCGACACAAGCATTCACTCACCATTGCAGGGTTTATTAATGCTCCTTCAATGGATCCTTCCATGGCTTTTTTTCTTAGAGCAGCGGCATTTTTCACGTGGTTAAAGAGGAGGAGAGTCACGCTGCAGTCAGGGAACAGCTCTAGCTGGTGCCTTAAATCCATCTCGCACCGATGGCGCAGACCGGCCCCGGGCAGCGCTCCGCAGCACCAGCCCTACAGCGTTTGCCAGAGTAACGATTACACAAAGACGCACCCACTCTTGTCTCGCATAGAACAGAATTTTAATAACACGCAACCATTCATATACGGTTTTCAACGCTTCTTAGAGGGGAACCCCCACG